AAGCATGGGCCACTATGGACGAATCACAGCTACAGGAAAATGGTGTTGTCAAATATCCAACAACTGACCACCTAAAAGCATGGCCACGTCATTTCCTGGAAAATGAGTTCCAAGATTTAACCATAGTGAATGACTACGACCCAGATACACCTCATGACTGTTTTGAACAGATGAAAATGGAAACAACACATCTACCAACTGTGCATGAAGACCCATTGGTAGATCCCGATCTCACCCTGTTTGTGGACGGCTCAAGATATGCTGATGAAGAAGGAAGATACCATACAGGATATGCCGTAACCACAACAGATGAAATTGTCAAATCATCATCTTTACCATCAACTATGTCTGCACAAGAAGCTGAATTGCAAGCCCTGACTTCAGCATGCAAGATCTCTGAAGGAAAGCGCGCCAATATCTACACGGATTCAAGATATGCACTGGGCGTGGCTCACGACTTCGGATTAATTTGGAAAACAAGAGGATTTCTTACCACCGCCGGTACACCAATCAAGCACGGTTCCGCAATCAAGGAGCTGATGGACGCCCTCCTACTCCCAGAAGAAGTGGCTATTTTGAAGGTAAAGGCACATGGGAAGTTGGACTCAGATGAAGCAAAGGGCAACCATCTAGCTGATCAGGCTGCAAAACAAGCTGCAAGAGAACCACAGGAAGTGGAAAGAAGAGTGTCCGGAAATGAAGAAACTCCCATATTTACTCTGCAGACTCTTCCAACTGACCTAAAAATCCTGCGGGAACAACAGGCTACAGTTGCCCCTGAAGAAATACAGAAGTGGAAACAGAAAGGGGCAGTTCTAAGAGATGGAGTGTATTACAACAATCTCAGATTCTGCCTCCCTAAGAATTTGTACCCAGCAGTCGTACAATGGGCACACGGACCTGCACATTTATCAAAGGATCTAATGAATGCTCTTGTACAAAAATACTACCTCACTGTCCCCATATGAGATTCTATTTGGGACTGCACCTAGGCTAGGTTGCTATTTTCCCCAACAACTACAACTTCAAACTGATGTTTTAGTAGATTATGTAACTGAACCCGCAAATGCTTTAAACAAAATCCATGCCCAAGTTTTCTCTTCAATTCCAGATCCTGATTCTGATAAGGGCAACCACAGTCTGCTCCCTGGTGACTGGGTTCTGGTCAAGAAATTTGTGCGAAAACACACCCTGGAACCAAGATTTGACGGACCGTTCCAAGTTCTCCTGATCTCCCCTTCCTCTGTCAAATTGGCCGGAAGGCCTAACTGGATCCACGCTTCCCATTGCAAGAAGACACCTGCCCCAGAGGAAGCTAACTCTATGCAACCATGTGCCTCTGGTACATTATCTCCTTAGTTGGCCTCCTTAAAGCCCAGCAGGTGGCCATCACCAAAGATGCTAGTGGGTACACTTTCTGGTATAATTCATCATGTACCCACGTGGCTACATTCACCTTTGATTACTGTGATATTGTAGAATGCCCATTCCCTAAGTCACAGATTCAAGCCATTTATAAAGATATACCACAAGCAAAAGACCCTTACGTTTGTGTAGTAGATGAACAATGGGGTTATGACTGTAACTACTGGGGGGCTGCGGGATGGAATACTGGGCCTGCCTGGGGTTATAAACCCAAAAGTGCTTTATCTAAGATAGACAATCAGGGTAGATCCCTCCTTCAAAGAATGACTTTAAGAAAGCCTGGAGGAAGTACCCCTATGAAATTAATGTTAAATATTGAACATCCTGGCCCCGAGGATGCAGACCGATATGTAATGGGAATGTATTGGAAGAAAGGTTCCTACAACAAATTAGGTCATTTCTACCTCAGAGATATGTACCACTCTCCAGAGTGGCAAGGGGCTGATCATATGGTCCCAAATCCGCTAAAACCACATATCCAGTCCTTTAAAGATATGATGGCCATCGCTAACCCCACTTTTGAAGATACCATGGCCGCTGAAACTGGATTCAATGACATTAATTTGTGGTTAGAGTGGATGAAATATAATGCTAATAAACATAACAAAACAGCATGTTATGTATGTGGCGGTGCCCGACCCCACCTTGGCACCGTCCCCCTAATTCTCCCTTTAGAGATAGAAGATTGCTTCTTAAGCCTTTTTGCCTACCAATATGACTTTGATAGGTCCCTCTGCATGGCATGGACGGCAGAATACCCTCTCTTAGTTGAAAATGTTAAGCCACCAGATGGAATCACAGTCTATAGAGGTAATTACACTTGTTATGCCATGTATGACGGGATTGGTAAATTCATGGGTAATTTTTCTAAAGGTTATTGCGCCACTTACAGAACTGTTCCTATACGCCTGTTGCAACACCATACCAGGTCATTGGGGGATATTTACTGGTTATGTGGGGATCTACAGTTAAGATCTAGGCTGGAAACTGAGTGGTGGGGTGAGTGTACTCTAGCCAAAGTTATCATGCCCATTCATATTATTTCTGATAATCATCATGACACATACGACCCTCCACATACACCAGCCAGAGTGAGAGTGAAACCCCAGTAAAAGGCAGTTTTGACCCCCACATTTACATAGATGCCATTGGGGTACCTAGGGGGGTGCCTAATGAATTTAAAGCTAGAGATGAAGTAGCTGTAGGTTTTGAATCACTTTTTACCATAGTCACTGCCAACAAAAACCTTAATTGGATTAACTACATTTATTACAACCAACAGCGTTTTGTCAACTACACCAGGGATGCCCTCCAGGGCCTGGCCGAGCAGTTGCAGGCCACATCCCAGATGACCTTCCAGAACAGAATGGCCTTAGACATGATTCTAGCTGAAAAGGGGGGTGTATGTAAAATACTACCTGACACCATGACTTGTTGCACTTATATCCCAGAAAACACAGGTCCAAATGGTAAAGTCACTCTGGCCATAGCTAAATTAAATAGACTCTCAGAAGAGTTAAAGAGAAACTCTGGAGTTACTGATCCCTGGGAAAAATGGTTTGGTTGGATGACTGGTTGGCAGAGAGCTTTAGTCCAGATTGGTATTGCCTTACTAATTTTTCTTTTTATTCTCGCTCTTCTCATTTGTTGTGTCCTCCCATGCCTAAGGAAATTCCTGCAGAAAACTGTAGACCAAGCAACACCAACCTTCACTCATCTGACAATCGATGATCAAGATCTCACCTCACCCTGTATTCCGCTACAAACTCTCCCTTATACTGATGAAGTGCAGAAAGTCTAGGAAGGGACAGTACAGGGACAGCGTCCGTCTTTATGGGTAGACTGCCGTACGGAGAAGTAGTGGATAAGCCACTATGGGTTACCAGCGGAGTGAAGAGTGTTCCTGAACCGTACTGACGGATGTGCTGCAGCCTGTTAGGGTCAAGAGAGGGATAGACTTGCACTTTGCATTAACACTAAGTCAGCGGTCATGGGGTTTCTGTGTCTTTGGGCTAACACATCTTCTGATACTAACAAATAAAGTTTATCTTTTAGTAACTAACATTTTAAGGGGGGACTGTTGTAGAATTATAGAATTCTTGAAATTATCTAAGCTAATGCTTTGTCAGGAAGAAATGTGCTGAATAATAAAATGTGTATTTACTAAAAGAACCTTGAAGCTAACAATACTAACTACTCAAAATGGCTGCCAAAGCACCCCTCCCATCGAGTGAACACCTCGTGCTAACAAGATGGCGCCTACATCTTGTGTCCACTCCCGTGTCAAGGATGACATCACCTCTTGATAGGAGGGTACCTAACTAACCACTTAACACCTGGACCAATCAATAGTGTCTATTTGCTGTTATCTTGAATTCTTCAGTGATGTAATAATGCCTTTAAAAGGGTCTGCGCACCCATTTTCTGTCAGAAGCCATTAAACTTCTCCGAAGTTCTTTCATTAACCTGAACTTTGTGTCTCAGTGTGAATTTACTTCTGCGTGCACGCAACTTTATTATCTTTAATTTGGACAGTAACAGATAGTCATTCAAACTAATTGGTTTGCAGTAAATTATCTACAACATATACATACAGCAAAAACAAGACCTAGAGCTGACTGTTGCTCAGACCATGAGCTTCTTTTTGCAAAGTTCATAATTAAACTGAAGAAAAGAGGAAAAAAACCTTCAGACCAATCAGATACGACATAAATAATATCCCTTGTGAATATGCAGTGGAAGTAAAGAATAGATTTGAGGGACTAGACATAGACGATAGAATGCCTGAAGAACTTTGGACCGAAGTTTGCAATATTATCCAGGAAACCGCAAGAAAAAATATCCCTAAAAGAAATAAATCTAAGAAGGCAAACTGGCTATCTGATGAGGCTTTAAAAATAGCCCAGGAAAGAACTGGAGATTGGAAAGAGTGTGTCTAACTGAATGCAGAATTCCAAAGGATAGCAAGAAGAGACATTCTACAATGAGCAATGCAAAGAGACAGAAGATAACAGAATGGGAAAGTCAAGAGATCTATTCAAGAAAATTTGGGATCTAAAAGTTACCTTTCATGCCAAAGTGGATGTGATAAAAGACAAAAATGGCAGGGACTTAACAGAAGAAGATCAGATAAAGAAGAGATGGCAGGAATACCCTGAAGATCTATACAAAAAGGATCTTAACAGCAGTGATGACCTCAATAGTTGGTCCAATGAGCTGGAGCCAGAAATGTTGGAGAGCGAAGTGAGATGGGCCCTAGTATGAGTTGCAGATAACAAGGCTGCAGGAGTTGATGAAATCCCAATTGAACTATTCAAAATTCTGCAAGATGATGCTATGAAATTTCTGCTTGCCTTATGCCAACAAATTTGGAAACCTCGACAGTGGCCAAAAGACTGGAAAAGGTCAGTCTACATCCCAATCCCCAAAAAAGGCAATGCCAAAGAGTGCTCCAACTGTTGAACAATTGCACTAATTTCACATGCCGGCAAACAATATATGGGCTGGGAATTACCAGATGTACAAGCTGGGTTCCACAGAGGACGAGGCACATGAGATCAAATTGCCAATGTACGATGGATAATAGAGAAAGCAAGAGAGTTCCAGAAAAAATCTACTTCCGCTTCATGTACTATTCTAAAGCCTTTGACTGTGTGGATCACAACAACATGTGGCAAGTTCTTAAAGAGATGGGAGTACCAGATCATCTCATCCGCCTCCTGAAGAATCTGTATGTGGACCAAGAAGCCACAGTCAGAACCGAACATGGGACAACAGAATGGTTCAAGATCAGGAAAGGAGTGCGACAAGGTTGTATATTGTCACCTTATTTATTCAACTTATATGCGCAATACATAATGCATAAGGCTGGGCTGGATGAATCCAAAAATGGAATCAATATTGCTGGAAGAAATATCAACAACCTCAGATACGCGGATTATACTACTCTGATGGCTGAAAGTGAGGAAGAACTAAAGGACCTATTGATGAGGGTAAAAGAAGAGAGTGCAAAAGCTGGTTTGCTGCTCAACGTTAAAAAGACTAAGATCATGACAAACAGCAATCTCAGTTCCTGGCAAATAGATGGGGAAGAAGTGGAGGCAGTGACAGATTTTATTTTCCTGGGATCCAAGATCTCTTCAGATGGTGAATGTAGTCATGAAATTAAAAGATATTTGCTTCTGGGGAGGAAAGCTATGGCATGCTTGGACAAGCTGTTAAAAACTAAAGATATTACACTATCAACAAAGGTCTGCATAGTCAGAACTATGGTATTTCCAGTTGTAACATACGGATGTTAGAGCTGAACTATAAAGAAGGCTGAGCGTCATAGAATTGATGCCTTTGAACTGTGGTGTTGGCGAAAACTGCTTAGAATCCTGTGAATTGCAAGAAGATCCAATAAATCCGTACTAAAAGAAATCAAGACAATCTGGAAGCTATGATCGTGAGGCTGAAGCTCAAATATTTTGTCCATATAATGAGAAGGCAGAATTCTCTAGAGAAAACTCTGATGCTGGGAAAGATTGAAGGCACACGAAGAAGGGGACGACAGAGACGGAGACGGATAGATGAGGTCACTGAAGCCACGAACATGAAGTTGTTTGAGCCCAGAGGGGCAGTGACTGACAGATGTACCTAGCAAGCTATGGTCCATATGGTCACGGAGAGTCGGACACGACTGAGCGACTAAACACACACACACAAACACCATAGCAGACACACGTACAGACGATATGTTCATAATTTCTGCAGATACAAGGATTTCTCTGTTCAGTGCTTGTTTATTTTACATGCTAAATAAAATTACTTAAAGGGGAATAACATAAACAGAAAGAAGAAAACAGGGGTAACGTTAGTGGGTGGAGGCTCAGAGCAAGGGGAAAGGGCAAGAGGTTCTAGGCGTGATCTGAATTGTACATACAGTGGGGGCCTGTAGGCATATTTAGGAGTGTATTTTATATGGGCTATTACACTGTATATGTGCAGCTTTTTTAACACATATATTTTTATGGTGTTTTTTTATAATAATAATAATACTGTTTTTAGACACATTTTAGAGCCTTTTTACTTGTTTCTTTGTCTTTCTGACCAGAAGCATATCAAAATTTATGAACCATCAAAAATAGTTTTCAGTGATTAGGATGTATCTTGTCATTTACTACTGCTTCACATGTATCAAATAAAGGTTTGATTAATAATGCACTTATTTCTTTATTCTTTGGTAAAAACTATTCCATCAACAGTTATCTTATGGGTTTCTTTTTTGATGAAACAAACCCCTTTTGACTTTCTTATGGTGGTTTTGAACACCATGACTTTCTTATGGTGGTTTTGAACACCATGGTGGTATTTCACTTTTTACTCGATAAATATAATATGAGTTGGTTATATTTGTGTAGATTTGAAATTTGTACATTTTCCTTTGTGAAGCACGCAAAGCATGGACACTTTCTTTCTCATTTTAATAAAGCCCTTATTTTAAATATCATTGAAGAATAAATTCAAATACTTGATATCAAAGTAAGCAGAATTATGGCTTTCTAATTGATTATCTATAATTGTAAAGATACACCTACTAATTTAAACATTGCAACCTAGACCAAAATCCTATATATACAGTGTTCTATGTTATAAAATAATTAAAGCATTTTATAAAATATTATACATATATAATGCATATATATGATTTCATTCTAAGTGTACTTTGAGATAAATACACATATATCTAAAAATACACATATAAGAAATCATATATGTGCATTATGTATAATATATTATAAAATGCTTTAATTATAATATATTATACATATATAAGAAATAAAAGTGTGTGTGTGTGTGTATATATATTTATATATTATATATTTTACATTAATATATACACACATACGTATTATATACAAATGTATTATATGTGTGTATATATATCTATATATGTGTATATATATATATATATATATATAAAATACAGAATCCAGCGCACACACTTATTCACTAAACAATGATTTCAAATCTTAGAGATTGTAATAGTTTTATTTAAAAACACCTCACCTAGGCAAAAAATGATGGGGGTTTAGTTACATTATATGATCATACATTGCATAAGCCTGCCAACTACGTTAAAGTACCCCATATTCGGCAGGTCCTATCCTAGTAGCAGCCTAATGCTTGCTCTTATGAGATTAATCCACTTACTTGGGAAATACTTCCTCCTGGACTCTCTGCAAGTCAAGGCTAAATAGGGTCCTGGAATGAGGCACCTGTGACAGGGAGGGGTGCAAAACCAAAAAGTTGGCCTGGGATTCCCAAATATATAAAAGAAACCAGGAGGGCTGCACTCACCTGAACATGCATACATTATAGGGTGCTGCTGGGGCCAAAATATACAAAATACAGAATCCAGCGCACTCGCTTATTCACTAAACAATGATTTCAAATCTTAGAGGTTGTAATAGTTTTATATAAAAACACCTCACCTAGGACAAAATATACAAAATATAGAATCTAGCGCACTCGCTTATTCACTAAACTAAAAAGTTGGCAGGCTTATGAAATGTATGATCATATAATGTAACTAAACCCCCATAATTTTTTGCCTAAGTGAGGTGTTTTTAAATAAAACTAATACAATCTCTAAGATTTGAAATCATTGTTTAGTGAATAAGCGAGTGCGCTGGATTCTGTATTTTGTATATTTTGGCCCCAGCAGCACTGTATGCATGTAATGTATGCATGTTCAGGTAGTCCAGCCCTCTCTCTCTCTCTCTCTCTCTCTCTCTATATATATATATATATATATATATATATATATATATATGCATACACACATTTTATATATATATATATATATATAAAAATTGAATATATATATATATATATATATATATATATATACTTATACACACACACATTCTATATATATATATATAACTATTAACTACATAATTATTTGATTTTATTAATTATAATTTGAGGGACCTGCCTGACAACCCAGGCAGACAGCCCAGAGAATTTAATTGGCAATCCCTATATTTAACCCCATAACTTTCCAAAACACCATAAAACCTTTCCAAATACCCCATTTTGAATACCCTGGGTTGTCTACATTTGAAAATGGTATGCCATGATGGGGTTATTTCACATTCCTGGGCTACCTTATGGTCCCATAAGGCAACACAGACCCAGCAAACTAATCTGGCAAACTGAATTGGGCAAACCCTATATTGACCCTGTAACTTTTCAAAACACCATAAAACCTGTACATGGGGGGAGGGGGTATTTGTTATACTCGGGAGACTTCGCTGAACACATATATCAGTGTTTAAAACAGTAAAACATATCACAACGATGAAGTCACCAGTAAAAGTGCAGATTTTGTGTAAAAAAAATGCAAAAAAACAACTTTGGCCAACATTTGTGACTACTACAAAAGACATACCCCATTTTGAATACCCTAGGTTGTCTACATTTTCAAATGGCATGTCATCGTGGGGTTCATTTTCATATCTGGGCTGTCATACTATCTCAAAGGCAACATGGCCAATCTGGCAAATAGCAATTTACAAAATCAGAAATTGGGTACTGTTGTACTCATGAGACATTACTGTACACAAATATGAGTGTTTTAGAGTAGTAAAATGTTTTATACTGATAATATAATCGGTGAAATGGCAGTTTATGTGTTAAAAATGCAAAAAAACTAATATAAATGCAAATTTTGGCCAGGATTTGTGACTAAGTGGCTACTAAAAAGACTGCACATACCCCATTTTGAATACCATGGGTTGTCAACTTTTACAAATGGTATGCCATGATTGGGTTAATTTTCATACCTGGGCTTCTATACGATCTCAAAGGCAACATAAGCCCAGCAAACCAATCTGGCACATTTCAATGTGCAAACATGGAAAAGGGGAAAGCCCTACATCTGACCCCTGTAAGTTTGCAAAAACCCATAAAACCTGTACATTGAGGGCACTGTTGTACTCAGTAGATGTTGCTGAACACATATTGGGGTGTTCTTTGTCAGTAACACATAGCAGGAGCTGAGAATCCATGCCTAAAGTAAAATGTGAGCAAAAAATAACACAAAAGATGACTACCCAAATGTTTGACAAAGACAAGTGGTAGAATTAGTGCATGAAAATTGTTAAAATACCACCATTTCAAATACCCTAGGGTGTCTACTTTTCAAAAATATATGGTTTGATGTGGGTAAATTATATTGGCCGGCTTAAAAAATGTCCCAAATAGGACATAGGTGCATGATGGCCAGCTGTGAAAATTCCAAGTTCCAAGAGACACCTATTGTACTCAGGAGATGTTGCTGAACACATATTGGGGTGTTTTGGGGTGTTTTTGGTAGTAACCCTTAAAGTTCTCAGTACATGTATTCCTAAATTGCTATGTGTGTCAAAAAAATCACCAATTATTTTAAATAAATCACCAAAATTCTAAAGCAACATACATAAAATGAGTGACTTTATCACCTGAGATTCAAAACTTCAAATATTCTACATGCGCTCCAAATACATAAATGAAATGGGAGGAAGTACATCAACTGTATAAAAATATATACATTTAATAATAAAAATCATCTTAATAAAAAACAGCTCAAGAAATAGATTCCCACAATCAATGTGGATCTATTCAGGAATAATATATCTCTAAAAATCAGACATAAATCACAGTATACAATGTATCAAAAAATGTATCAATGTATCAAAAAATCTCATGCAACAGTCTATAGTGAAACATGCAAGGTTATTCGCTAAAATGTGAATTGTTAGGAATTTGAAGTGAATTTCCAGTGTAGTGAGAAAGTAGGCAGACTGGAAATATCGCTGACTTGGAAAATCTTTTCAGTTTAAATATTTGGACCTTAAATTTGAATTCACTTTGAATTCACTTCAAATTCCTGACAATTATTACTGATAGGCACTTAAAGGGATGTCAGTCTGGATAGTATTTTTTTCCAAAGAATAAAGAAACAAGTGCACTATTGATAAAACCTTTATTTGGTATGTGTAAAGAAATAATAAATGGCAAGATACATTCTCATCACTGAAAACTATTTTTGTTGGTTATAGCCACCATTTTTTCATGAGGTTTTTTCATGAGGTCCAATGGAAGTAGCTGTAAGATTCATTTATATATATATAGCTGATGCCCAAAAGCTTAGCTTAATTCACCTAATTATTGCAGAAGTGTATTTCTTACACTTGTCAGTTATGCTCTTTTTAGGATGTTAGTCCATTAGAAATGATCATCAAATTGATTGTGTTGTGCAATCCAAAATATC